GAGACAATTCAAGTTCAATTGGACCTTCCAATATCCTTATATTCTCTTATATTCTCAATGAATCCATTTTCATTTATCACATGAGCGAAAAATGGTCGCTTGTTGGGGCCAAAGATCTGGAATTTGCAATTCCATCAGCGAATCAATGACAAAAGTCTCATAACGAAAGGTTGCGAAGAATACACTTTCTAGGAAAGGACAGCTTCTTTTTGTAATTTGCCTACGTCACCTTCACTAAAAGCTTGTGAAAACTCACGTCAATTCTCAGATTCTTAGTTTTGGACTGAATTGCCTTGAGATCTTTGGGCCACATGTATTTGGAATCGATCCTGAATGTTTTTCTAGTGGGAAGCCATTAAGAGAAGACAAATGAAAACTAACCTAAATCCTGCAACGCCTATATCGATAAGGTGATTGAAATACTCAACAATCTTTGCTTGTACATGTGGATTACTTTGATCCAAGTCGAGTAATCCAGAATTTCGACAATTTCTTAACTGTAAATGTCCTTACTAATCTTATTTTATTGAGTGGTCTTGCTTCTTCTTACTTGTTCTACATTATGAGCAATATCATCCGCAATAATGTTTCTCTTACATCTGTAGTCGTTGAAATGCTCCTTTGTATAAGGCACCTAAATTAAAATTGTTGATGTTTATTGAAGACACATTGAAAATTTGCCGAAAAACCTGGCCATCTTAAGTAGCGCGCATACATTATACAACTGTGTCTCTTAACCTTCTTAAACTCTAAACTTTATTCGATAGGACTGTTCGATTGACAGAAAACTTCTCATCTATGTTTTTCATTCTGCAGTCAAGTCTTGCTCAATTACAGCTGCATCAATGGTACCGACAAATTGCGTTTTCCTTTTAGAGATTTCTACAGAGATTGGTCTTATGGGGAACAATTATATATTTCTCTGCGTGTATCGCTCAAAGTCTGTGTCTATCTAGGTATATTAGGTACATTAGTATACACTTAAACAAACCGGCGGATAACATAGTTACTCTACAAGATAGTTGACATTAATGCGTCGTTTTATTGATCTTTTGAGCTGACTTAGTTCAATTTCATAAGAAAGCCCAGTAATTATCAATTATTACAAAGTGTTATGTTGTCGAATAAGTTCATTTCTTTAAAAATTAGATCACAGAAACAAAAGTTTTGCAGCGCACTGTACATCATTCGAAAGTGAAAATCTCCTTCTACAAATGATATGTTGGCTTGTTCAGTCATTTTGGTTATTGCCACTTCGACCCTTACCCTTCCCTTGTAAGATTTCAATTTTCAGTTTATTATTCACTATTCACTCACGCGTGCTTTGAATCTGATGAGCTTTAGAGTAGCGAAAAGTGTTTCCGGCATGAAGGTGCTCATCGAGCAAAACATGTAGAAGCACATTCATTACTCCTTCCGAATTCTCTTAATTTTGTGCGCTTGAAATTTTGGCGCTAACTTAAAAGAACAGAATGGTAGTGCTAGGCAGAGCACTGTTAGCTCTTCATCTGGAAGGTCCACTTTTATTCTCTCAATTTTACAGCTGCTTAAAAAAAGCAAAAAGCAGGCAGCAGCAGGCGGAAAAAAAGCTAGAAGCAGGCTCACTTCTGGGAAACTTTCTATTCCTTCAGTTCCATCAAAGTATGAGCCACCGCTACTGCCTATTCCCTTTTTCAGGCCGACTTTGGCCATATTGTTTATGACTGCATCGACGATGATTCTAAAGAAGCTTGGAAATAAAGAGATGCAATTTTTCCAAAGTTTGCCTCTTCACCTTACTCCAACTTTATTACATCTCTCGACCATATCTTTGAACTCTTCTTCCGTTCCACTGCGTGAATTCAATTTGTAGCTGACTGGTTGATATCTAAAGAGTAGATTTCAGATTCTATATGCTCGGAGATGATGTCTTTACCTAATCCACCATGGCATATCATTATTCTTGGTTAAGGTGAGGTGTTCATTTGGTGGTGAGACCTGAAGTTTCTTTTTGAAGGAGTCCAGAACATGTTATCTACGGTACCTGCACAGCACCATATCCATAACGCCACAAAAAGTTTTCACATTCCGCAGCTATATCTTTCCATTTCCACTCAAACAATTGCACCATAACCTGCCGATTTGGCAAAGTGTTAGGGTCGTCATACCTTAGAAATTTAATTAGAAAATATACTATTCTATTGATCCCTTGATTGTAACTTACGGATCTGCAGCGATAGTTGCAAAAAAGAGGTAGGGCAGAAGATAACTAAAGCTACACATGTCTGGAATGGTATGATTAGCAGAAGTTTATTTTGCAGAGAAATGGGCTTTTAATAGAAGAATAGCTAATTCTGGGAAAATCATTCGTTGACAAAACTGCATCGAAACAAGTATAATGAGCTTATATCTTGCATCTTCTGTGAAAAACAAATGTAAACCGATTGGCTACTGGCTGAGGAGGGCGTCATCACCTGCCTTTTATAAGCGACTTACAATAAAAGCGAAGATAAGATATCGTATAAGTTATGGGAAAAAA